TACTTTATATTAATTGATTTTATATAATAACAAACTTACTTCTTCACATTCTCCATCCTTAATTGCATAATCATCTTCACATTGAGTACATACACCCATTGAACATAAAGCACAATGAGAACCACATTTATTACAATTAAAATTACCTGATTTATCTTTTCTTAGTTCATATCCAAATTCACATCTTTGGCATGAATCAGCATCAAAACATGAACTACAATGACTTGAACAATACTGACACTCCCCAGTAATAGACACGTATTGATTGTCTAAACATGAAACAGCATAGGTTAAAGAAATAAATAATATAATACAAATAAATACCTTCATCATGAGATAAATTTTTAGTATTAATTTATTTAAGTTTTAATCAAATAAAAAGATATACAACTTCTTTATTAAAAGAGTAGAATTCTTTTTTTCTTTCTTTTCTTTCTACTTTCTTCTTTTTTTTTATATTTTTTATTAAACTATAAAATAAAAAATTTTAATTATAATTTATAATAAATAAAAATGATAAGAATTTTATTTTTTAATTCCCTTAACATTATCTAATATTTTCTTAATTCTTTCTTTATCTTTATGTTCTAAAATCCATCCTTCTATTACAAAGACTTCAACTTTCTTTTGTAATTTGCCAAATCTTATTGGACTTTTTAATCTGATATCAATATTATTTCCTTCAAATCCAAATGAATCTATTAATTGATATGGTATTTTCCATTTGGATTTAGTTAATTCTCCAACTTCTTTTTCTACACCAATCATTGATTCTAATGTAAAAATAATTCCTTTAATTTTATTATCAGCAATTTGTTTAATCCAATCATAAAACTTTAGTTCTTTAAAAGCACCACCGTCTGCTTCCATTAACATAGACCATCCTTGTGATTGAAGGTAATCAAAACAAATTATTTGTTCTGGACAATACCTTGGTGGTCTAATTCGCTCTTTCGCAATTTGTCCAAATGATATTCCTGTTAATCCGTCATTAACACTTTTAAAAAATCCTACAATTCCATCTAATGGTTTTACAACTATTCCTGCAGCACCAACTAATGCACCACCAATAAACCCTGCTGGTGCCAATTGTTTCTTTTGTGTTCCAGCAAGATCAGTCAGTCCAACAGAAGTTTTCCAAACACCTTTAACACCACGAGCAACAGAACTTACAAGATTTTTTGTACCATCTTTTAAAGAATATTCAAAAGTGGATTGCTGTGCTTTTACTAAACTACTAGGAACATCTTTTATAGTACTCTTATCAACTCTTCTTAAAAAGATATTAAGTTCTTCTTCGGTTTGTTTATCAATTCCATTCATAGAATTTATTTCAAAACGTTCTTGAGTAAAATCAATTGACTTTGGTTTTTTATTGACTATAGTTCTAAGTCCAAATAATTTACCAACAACAATCCATTTTAAATTACCTAAGTCTTCAAGTACTTTTTCTTTAATTTGATTTACTAATGCTGTTGTTGTAAAACGTTTATTAGAAATAATATGTTTATTAAATCTAATAGGAATTCTATCGATATCCATTTCATGTGCTTGATATAGTAGTCGTAAAATTGTTGAATGTTTTGAAGGTTTTTTTGTTGTTTTTCCAATAGAAATATTAATATCAATTGTATTAATAATAGTGTCTTTAATAATTAATCTTAAAGGGTCATTGTCATCAATTTTAGAGTTGTTTATAGGTATTAAGAAAGGAGGATACTCTTCTAAAGTTTCAAGAATATGTTGTAAAATATCTGGTTCAATAAGAATTTCTAATGGTTGAATTGTAAAACTTGCTTTTGAAATACAACGTAATTGAAGGATATTACCTTTTGTTGGAGTAATTAATAATAATCCGATATGGAAAAATGATTTATTTGGATCATAAATCCAATCAAGTGGTCTTGGAGAAATAATAACTGGATTTTTTAATAAATCTAATGACTGAAAGTCTAGTTGAATATAGTCAAATTGCATTTCTAAACCAAGATGTCTATCTGTTCTAATAATTTCTAATAAAATTGATTTAATATTTAACGATAATTCTTCTTTTGCATTTTTTCTAAATAACGAAATTCCAAATGAAGGCAAACTTACTCCAACACTCCATTTAACTTGTTCTTCTTTTCTTTTATTTTTATCAATTGTGATAATACTAAGGTTTCCTTCTATTTCTATTGAAATAAAATTTGAATGAATTGAATATTCTTTTTCAATATCAAGAGGGTCAATAACAAAACCATTGATCAACAGTTTTCTTTCTTTAATTGGATTATTCCATGCAAATGGTAAAGAGTGATAGGGTAATAATTTTATTTTCATATTACAGTCATATTGACTAATAACAAAAGACTCATTTGTTTTATTATCTAATCTTAAAAAAACTTCTTTACATCCATAAATATTTGTATAAAAACTTCCTTTATTATTTTCTGTTTGAATTGTAAATATTCTGTATGATTCAAATGTTTTCATAAGTATTTGATATTCGTTTGTTTCATTTACTTTTATTGGAACACCGTAATAATCAACCATACCAATAGTTATTATATTTGAATGAACAGGAGCAGACTCATTTGGTGCTAAAGTAATAATTTTGTTTTCATATTTCAATTTAAATGTTTTAGTTGTTGAATTTGTAATTATAAATTGAGGTTTAATACTTATTTTTAATGAAGAACTTAATTCATTCATAATTTTAAATAGAGTAATTTTAGCAATAAGTTCTTGATGGTCTATGGTAAGGTATTTAGTTTCTCCAAGACTTAAAGGAATAGGATCTTTATATGGTTCATTAATAGTTCGTTGAATTAATTCTAATGAATTAGTATTTTGGTTAAAAGGAGCATATAAATAATATCCTTTAGTGGAATTAATTGTTCCAAAGTCATTAACGACAAGAGGTAAAAGAGTTGAATTTTTAATATAAAAAGGACAATCGAATATTATAGTATGATCTTTAGCTGATTGTTTAAAATGATACTTTCCAATAATAAGTGAAGGTAATTCTTTTGTTGAAGAGCAATAAGAATTTATTGAAGATTGAACATTTTTATCATCAAAAATAAAACCATTTAATTGGTCAATTACCATAACAGAATAATAAATTGTGTCATTATAATCAATATCATTAAAACTACCAGATGAGAAAGGTTGTATAGTAATACAAGAATATTTTTGGTTTATAGAATTATTTAAATTTGAATGATTTAATAAATTTAAAGAAGAAGAAGGGATATTACTATTATTATTTAATTGTTGAAATATATGAGGATTTGAAAGAAAAGTATTTTGATGAACAATAAATATAGATAATGTTAAAGGTAATTTATTAATAAAAGTGAATGGTGGTAAAATTTGAATAGTGATTGGAGTAATAAATTTATTTTCTGATTTTAATTTTTCTGAATATTTATAGTTTAATACAAAATATTTATTTTCAATAACAAAAGGAGTAATTGAATTCATTATGAAGAGTTCATTATCTTCATTATTTATTAAAGAATATTCAAAATTAAAGTTTTGAATTACTTTTTCATTTTCTGGTAGAGAAATTGAAAATGAAAAAGGTTTAGTACCAATTATTGGAGTAAATGAAAGATGAGAATGAGTAGAGAGAAGAGAATTATTATTTACAATTATTTTTAAAGGAATTTGAGTTTTATTTTTAAATATAACAATCGAAGAAATACATATTATTTGAATAAATTTAATAGAATAAAATTTAATAGTAATATATCCATAAGTATTTCCATATTGTTTTAAATTATAAATGTATTTATTATTTCTATTTTTAATGAAGTAAAAATACTAATTGGATCAAATGTTCCAATTAAAATAGTTAAATTTCTTTCATTAATAAGAGGAATTTCTAATGACTTATCTTTTTCAATAATGAAAGATTCATTTTCAGTTTTAAGAATTAGTTGTTCACCAACTCTATTAATAATTTTTGATATTCCTTTATTTTTATAATATTCTGTGTCAATAGTTTTTAACCAATGTTCAAATAATTGATTTAAAGTTAATATAAATTCTGGTGTGATATTTAAAATTAAAAAATTATTTGGACTAATGTTAATTTTAAAATGTGGTATTAAACAATTTCCAGTTATATTAAATGGTTCAACCAATGGCTCAACTGTCCATTTTTTCTTTGAAATATTAGTGTATTTAATTTCTGTTTGAGTTATATTAAAAAATAATTCTTTTTCATTTAATTCAATAGAAAATGATTCAGTATTTAATATTAATGATCTACAACTTTCAATAATTTTCCCTTCTTGAGAAATAAATTCACTTGATAAAACAAATTCTAATTTACTGATATTAAAACTAATTATTAAATTTGGAAAAATAAATCTTTCATTTTGTTTCAATGATGTTTTAATTTTTTTATCTTTTAATTCTAATCCTTCTTGACTTAATTTTAATTTATTTAAATTATTTTCTTCTTCAGGAGCAATTAAAATACTTTGAACACTTTCTTGAAATTCTTTAATAAGTTTAATTGTAGTATCAAGATCTCTATTAGAAAATTCAATATTAACACGGTCTAACGAAAAACCAACATTAGGAATTGTTAACATTCTTAATGAAGAACTAAATGAATTAATGGTTGCAATATGAATAATATCTTCTCTTTTAATAAATTTACTAAAAATACAAAAATCGTTACTAAACAATGATATTAAATCTATTAGTCCATTTTTTAATACAATATTCCCTTCTAATGAACCACTTAAAGTTAAAGTATTTCCTTCATTGTTTTTAAATATTAATTTACTTTTAACAAGATTAAATAAAATATTAACTATTAAATCTTCTTTATTTCTTTCTTTATTTTCATTTCTTTGTAGTACTAATTTATTAAAAGAGTTTTCTTTTCTTTCATTCAATTTGTTATTTATTGAAATTGTTAAATCATTATTATTATTATATATATATATATTATTATTATTATTATATATTATTATTATTATTATTATTGTTATTGTTATTATTATTCTTTTCTTCATTTCTTGATATTATTTGAGTTAATTGCTTAATAACATCTTTCAATGAATCAAGTAATCGTTTAATAAATTCAGGTGCAAGTAATAGTGTTGGCGTGATACAATCTATTTTACAGGTTGAATCTTTTCTATAATTATATTGAATTTGTAAACACTCTTCTTTTCCATCACATCCAAAAACTTCTTCTTTCTTTTCAATATCAATTATTCCTAAATTTTCAATCCCAATTTGTATAAATTGTTTTGTTGTATCAATACTTCCTTTAAATGTTTTGGCTTGGAACTTAGCCTTTGAAATTGTTAGGTTAACTCCTTCTGCTTTTATGCTAAATCGAATTCTTGTTTTCTTCATTTGTCTATTTCTTCAAGAAGTTCTTAGTTCTTATTCTTCTTTTATTATTTAGTTCATTAACTTAATTCATTTATTTTGTATTTTATTTGATTTTATGTTATATATGTCAAAATTTACTATTTTTTATTCATTAAATGTTATTTATGACATTAATAGATTTATTAATGTTACTTAAAAGAGTAAATGAAATAAGTATTAACGATGTATGTCGTATCTTATTTGATTTAGCCAATTATTTCTTTCAACAACTAAAATCCATTTGTGAATAAAGGTGACACCTTTTCTTGTTTTATTTAAACGGTTTTAGAACTTCATTACTTTAAAGAATCATTTAAGATATAAGACATAAAAGAACATGAATAGATCTTACCTATTCTTTTATTCTAATTTCTATTCACAAAGTATTCAATTTTGAAAATTATAATAGTGATTAAATTAATATTTGATAACTCATAATATTCAAGTTATTTATTCAATGGTGTCAAGGTAGTGGTATTAATTTTTTAAATGAAGAAACGACAATAATTAAGTAATTATAAATAAACAATTTCATTGTTTGATATAAAAATAATTAAATTTCATATAGCAAGAATCTTGTACTAAAAATAATTTAACAACAATAATAAATTATTAAAAACAGAAGGATCATTTATAATATCATCTTTTGACTAATGTATTTAAATAATATTTATTAAATTTACGAACTACATAGTTAGTATACTAATAATAAAATAACATAAAAGATTTAATAAAATATTGATTGGTAAGGCTAGAATAATGTTGGTATAAAGCTTTTTATAAAAGAACAAGTAAGAGGTTTCTGGTTGTAAATCAATATTTGTTTCTCAATATCACTAAATAACATTGAAACAATATT